GTACGAAAAAGATTAAATGCAATTCATAAAATTTGTTTATCATTTAAAGTAATGTCAAAATATAAAACAAAACTACTTTTATGTACTTGCAAAATTTACTTCAGATTGGCGAATTTGGCGTAAAAAATCATACTTTTAATTCACGGTTAAAAACATAACACATTTATAACATAAACTTCTTTAATGGATAGAAACAGATTTATACTTCTTATAAAATAACTTTAAAATCAATACTCAATTAAAAACTCACCTGAATTAATATATAACAAATTAGATTCGCTGCTTTTTCACATAAACTTTGCCGCCATATTGTTTTGACTTGTGCTATCCCATAATCCCATGCGGTTGCTGCCACCTGATTGGTTGAATTGTGAAGTTGAATCAACTTTTTCGAGGAGATGTGAAAGAGTTGATTCAACAGTTTATCCAACTCGGATAAGTATAGCACACCTATGTTTTCGGACGGAGTTGTCTTCGGAGTTGAAGTTGAGGTTGAGTTGAAGGTTGAGTTGGACGAATTTCCTTAAGTGTGATATGACCTTAAAATCGATTACAAAATTCCACCCGGACAGACATACACGAAGGCAAGTTTATATAAACGTGGTAAAAATAATAAAATGCTTTCAATGGCCAGATAATCCAAGAGGTTTTGGCTAATTCAACAAATAAATAGGCATCTTATTAAATTATAATAAGTTTATTTAACAGATTGCATTGGATTTTTTTCATGGATGATAATGATATTTTCCCATAGCGAGAATGCTGGGAGTCTAGTCATGAAAATATAAAACAATCCTCGCATTTCGATGACTCCTGCTATTTAACCACAGATTCAGAAAGAGAATCGGTTGCAAGAATATCCTTAACTTAATCAAACGTAATTCAAATAGGAGAATTTAAAGATTTTGATATGTACCAAAACATGGCGCCATTCTGACAATCGGGAATTTATGGGGTTTTCTTAATGTGTATTTCTCTTAGAATTACTTCCCATTAACTTCAGAAAGTAATCTTTTAATTGGCATCTTGGCTTTTTATGACTCTATGTGAATGGGTTATTTCTACGCCTTAAAATTAATAAGAGAAATCTATTTTATGCTTATGATTTAATACAGAAAGATTCATATTAGGCACTCTAGATTACATCTCCCCTCCCAGAAAATTTTTTTTTTATTAAACTTAGAAAGAAAATTGTGGTTAATTACTTAGAACCCTTTCCACCAGAATTTTTTATAAAAATTAAAACAAAACACACATCAAATTATCAAATAGATAACTTTTAAGCAAAACAGAAGTAACAAATGCAAGGAAAAAGATGTGTACACAAAAACATGTATACATATTACCTGTAACAGTAAGTAATGTTTACTTCAATATATCTTCTATTAGTAATTTATCAAAGTTTATGAATACAATATACAAAAAGAATTAGAGTCTCGATAATTATTCAGTATTTTTCTGAGAAGTTCTGTGTAGTAACACCACAAACTGCTGTAAGTGAAGACTTTTTTAAAGTTAATAAAGAAAATACAATAAAAATAATAAAGTTGAAAGCACATATCTAGAAATTCATTATCCACATATCTTTTCAAAATGAATAAAAAGGACACAAGTGTGTCATTAATCTAGAATTTAGAATTGTAGTATAGTAAAGGGCTTGTTACTGAATAAAACGCTGTGGTACCCAAAAGGAGGAAAACAGTCTTGTATCTCAGCAATATTGGTTCGGAAGGTCCTATCTCAAAGTATATGGCAAAGAAAAATATGAATTGTTTATGGTTAGACCATAAGAGAAACTTCACCTCATATCTGTTATGAATACGGGTAAACAAAACCGATGTAAAAATTTTGAGGGGTCGGATCTTCGGTTGAAAAGGTGCAGCATGTTCGAAAGAACCATGCATATGACATTTTCATGTAATTAAATTTATACAGTACAAAGCAAATCCCGTATTTGCTTATCTCTTTAATATTTTTTTTAATAAAAATTAATAAATTTTATTGATGATTAAACTTTAATTTTTCTGCTTCCTAATCTTTTCTGAGTTTGAAAACATGTACAATTTATGTTTTTTCTTTAGTATAACTATTCTTTTTATCTATTTAATAATTCACATCTTTTGAAGGATGCTATAAGGACCACTAAAAGTTCGGGAAAGTTTTCTAGTGTTAGGATATTTAAACTCTTCATATATGACTGTTTCAACTGGTGAAAAATTTATATCTACTAATCTTTAATCGTATTTTCTAGCTATTTTCCCAGCTTCTTCGATTCGAGGATAAATACTTTCTATTAAAGGAATTTCAAATGGAACTATGTCATTTAATAAATATCACGATGGAAATTTCGTAACGAGTGGGGAGTTAAATTATATTCCTGAATAAATTTTTTAAAATAATTTTGGTCACGGCTCCAATGTTCTTAATGACATTGTGATTTTTTATAGTAAAACAGAATCAAGCACTGTTATATAAAGAAAAAAAAAGAAAGGGAAGAATTATTTACATTTAAACATTTTTTGATTAATAAACCTGTTAGGAGCTTTATCTCCAAGAATAATATACTGTAATGGACTTACCACTCTGCATGTTTTTGTTGAATAATCCAAAAGTAAAAAAAATGAAATAAAAAATAAATAAATTAAAAAAGAATCGCAAACATCTAATCATTATTACTATAGCAAAGTTTTTTGAGTTCATTTCTTCTCATTTTTATTCACTTTTTCCTTTCCCACTGCTTCAAAAAATCTTAGATGTTTCTTTTTCAAGGAGCGAAGAACTCTAAATTTCGTCAACAGTCAATTCAATTAGAAAGAGGCGTAAAGCGCTTCCAGGAACAAATCATTCACTTTCCTGCGATGCATCATTCATTTTTCTGCTGCATCACATAAATTTGTCAAAAGTGTTCGTTGATCTATCAGTACTTAGACGAGGAAGGAAGCGTAATTTCAAAAGAGAAAAGATGCAATTAATTTTTTTCTGGATGTAAAACTTATTCCTTTCTCTGGTTGTTGTCTCCTTTCTCTGGTTTCTCTTTGAAGGATGATTTAATTATTTTTCTCCAGACCTTTTTTCGCTGCAGTGAACATATAAGTACGTTTTACTTTTTTTCATCTCTAAACTGATTTTAGAGTCATTACAATAAAGTTTTTTCTTTTGTAAAAGTGTCTTTTTGTGTGGTCAAAAATTCTCAAACAAATTTACTTTCTACAACCGGCTTATAACAAAATGTCTTTAAAACCTGGATAACCATTGAGGCTTTGGTTAATTCAACTAAATAGGCTTCTTATTAATTTATATTAAGCTTATTTAACATCTTACATTGGATTTTTCCATGGATGAAAATGATTGTTTCCCATAGCTGGAATGTAGGGATTTGGCATGAAAATATGAAGGAAAGCCACGCATTTTCGATGGCTCTTTGCTGTTTCACAAGAGAATCTGAAAGGTTTCAAGAATATCCTTTACTTAATCAAACGTCATTCAAATGGGAAAATTTAGAGATTTTGACATGTTCCAAAATAAGATGCCATTCAAACTATATGGAATTTTTGGGATTTTTATAATGAGTATTTTTCTAAGAATTATTACCTATTAACTTCAGAAAATGATCTTTTAATTGGAATCTTGAACTTTTATGGCTCTTTGTGAAGGAGCGATTTCTACTTCTTAAAATTATTAGGGGAAATCTATTTTAGGCTTATGATTTAATATAGAAAGACTCGCATGAGACATTATCTATCTTGAGGTAAATATACTGTAACATATTAACCGAAGAGCTATTACCAAGTCATGAAGAGCCAAGACGTGGCTTGAAAGTCACTGGAATGTTCCTCGAACTAATCCATGACAATTTGACCCTTATGACATGGTGCATTATCCTGTTGGTAAACACCATCCACCACAGGAAAAACTGCTGCCATGAATGGGTGAACCTGGTCTGCAACTATGTTCAAGTAGCTTACAGACGTCAGGGATTGTTCTATGAGGATTAGGGGTCCTAATGTGCCCCATGAAAACATTGTTCCTGGGCGAGAAACCATGAAAACCTGGGCGAGCCTATTGTTATAGATGGAGGGTGGTCATAATTTAATGGTTCTTCGGTGTATATCTATTTCAGCTGAACTTTGTATGACTTATGGGCAGCAAATACATATTTATAAAGCAATATCTGAAAAAATTTACAGAAAATGTTAACAAAAAGTTTAGGGTGTTTTGCTGTAGGAGTAAAATTTTAGTATTTCTCTATAACTTTCTTAGCTTTGTTTTTGATAGGTGCATATAAACGCTTCTGAGGAAAATTTGTAAGACGAAACACTTAAACAAATAACAATGATAGCAAAATCATCCTCTTTATATTTGGATTTTAATGGTTTGTTAAAAAATAAGAAACTAAGCGGCACCGGACATGTTTCACTTGGCCCTACTCTGCAAAGCGTTATTTCTGAAGTTCAATAAGCTGTTTTGATTCCCAGCTACGCTCTGAATTTAAGATGAATCAAATTTCTCAGTCAGATAAAACCAATAATAAAGGATGCGCAGAATTTCTGCAGCGTTCAAATACGTGGAAAATATCTAAATTTATAAATGGACCAGGAGGCTCCTCCCCCTACTCGTTTCACCCACAAACCTCCATGAATATTTGTCATTCATCATTTTTTTCTTTCTTTCTGAAAGCTAGTTATTTCCACAGCATAAGCAAAGAACACTTTATTAATAACATATTCAAATACTGAAGTTTTATGTATGAAAATTTCGTCAATTTGTTAATCCTAACGAAATGAACGATTACGCGGATTTAAAAAATATTCATTTGTTCTTGAAAAAAAAGACACTATCAAAGGAATTTAGATTTCGTAACTCAATACGAAAATATAAAAGTGAATTCGCGATCGCTACGCTTGAGTACGCCCTCTAGCGGGAGCCTGAAAGTATCAAGCATTTATTTATTAAGTTTAATTTACTTCCATCAGAATCACTGGCAGAGTCAGACCCCATTTTCAAAGCAGAGTAAATAAGAAGCAAAATTTCCCTAAGGAAAAGGCTGAAGAACTTGAAATAACTCTCCAGAACATTGGTAATTCTTTCAGAAACATAACACGCCAAACATCTGAAGAAAAATTCCTCAATAATTTTTAACTTCTATTATCAACAAACTTGTAACTGATAACTTCCTATTTCGGGATCGCATACCGTTACAAATGTGTGTATTACGGTAATTTTTTTTTCTGTCTTGAATTCATTACAAATTAAAGAGAAGTCAACATTGCTTTCTTCATTCCAATGAATAAATGTGAATTTAGAACGTACAGAACTGTAAAAGTTACAGAATATTCTTCTTCTTTATAGAATAGTATATATTTATGTATCTATATAATTCGGAAAACAACAATAAGGAATTATCTGAATTACTTGAAACAGTATCATTTGTGCTGATTATTAATAAATTTTTATCGTTTTCTTGGTAAGTGTTTTTTAGTTTTGGAAGAATAATTTCAACTAGAATTCAGCTATTCTGTTTTTAAGCTACATATTAAACTTCATATCGAGATCTTACAATTATAAAATTTTGCTGTGTAATTTGCTATCTAAAAGTAATGAAGGTATAATCTATGCATATATGTATTACTTGAAAATAAAATTTTCAAACGAAGAACATTTCATTTGGAATTCTCCGGATTTATGAAGCAGGTGAGTGTTATGATTTTTGTAATAAAAAAATTGCTTGTAAATTTTTTTTTTCTTTTTTGATGATAGTTCTCTACAGAATGGTTTTTTGCGTCTGATTAAGAACTATAAGAATAGAAAAAAGAGACAATATGAAAGTTTTTTATTTCAATATGAGGAATTTTTAAAATCGTTTTTTTATCCTAAGAATTCTTTATTTTGAGTTTTTAAATTTATAATTTTTTGATAAAAATTGTCGTCAAATTAACTGGTATAGCATTATGTATTTATGTGTACTTCTTGCATATCCTAATGTTTGAAATAATATTATGATTCAGAAAAGTATGGAATAAAAATTCGGTGCATAAATGTTATCACCCCAGCAGTTATAGATTTGGCGGTTTTTAAGTGCCGCCAATCATAAAATAAAACACTTTATTTAAAATCAAAGTAGTCAATCGGATTTCTGTGGAAAATGGGCCAATATAGAGTTTAACATATATTCAAAACAATCTGTTTTTTCTTTCACATGATGCTATCGACATATGAACTCTAGTAAATAAGATTCCAAATGAAACAACATTTCCAAAACGTACGTTTAGCAATATGTCTGTTTTGGGAAAATCTCAAAGACGCATTTAGGAAGCACTAAAAAGTGGCGTCAAAAATCAGCAAACAACAAGGCAACAAGGAATCCAAAAGATAACTGTGTGCGAACAGCAGGATTGCTCTTTATTGGCCTCATTAGAGCAACTTCTGCTGCGGTGGTACCACGAATACAGAATAGCTGAATTCGTGGTACGTAAATACCACGAATTCAGCTATTCTGTTTTTAAGTTACATATTGAAATTCATATCGAGATCTTGCAATTATAAAATTTTACTGTGTGGTATGTCATCTTAAAGTAAAGAAGGAATAATCTGTGTATTTAATATTTGAGAATAAAGTTTTCAAATGAAGAACATATCATTTTGGAATTCTCCGGATTTATAAAGCAGGTAAGTGTTATAATTTATAAAATAAAAATTTTATATTTTATATATATTCGTGTAACTAATTTTTTTTCCTTATTTGATGATAATTTCTATAGAAGGGTTTTATACGTCCGGTTATGAATTTTTTTAAAAAAAAAAAAAAAAAAAAAATGAANAAAAAAAAAAAAAAAAAAAAAAAAAAAAAAAAAAAAAAAAAAAAAAAAAAAAAAAAAAAAAACGTTAAAGAAAAGAAGCTTGCTCCAAGTTATAAAATGAAGCATGTTAAATTTTGACACCGTAGTTGTATTTTAGCCGGGTAGTAGACTGACTTTTATGTTCTTTTTTACTAAGTTAGACTGTTAAAAAATTTTTTGAACTAAGCATGGAATGGTAATTGTTTTACTCCGTCGCACTTCCAGTATATTTCTCTACAATTGGCCATAGTTTTAAACTTAAGACTTAAAGTTTTTAAAGAAATTCAGTGAGAAAAAATCGTAAAAAAAAGAGCCTGAAATTGAATATATAAGATTGAGATATAGGAATTTTGAAAAATACTCCTGTACCTATGAGTTTTTAATATCGAAAGAAATTCTTATTGTTCAAAACAGTGTGAATTTAATTCATACAGTGATAGAAATAAATATTTAGCAATAAAATTTAAAAATGACCCTAGTGATGTGTGGGTGTGTGATTTTCCTTGAACTATGAAAACATGTATAGCTGTTCGAATTTAAGCAGCATAATAACTCCAATTATTAGTTTTATGCATTTTATTTATTCTTTTAAGGTAATACTTGCAACAAATATTGTGGTTGCGTCGAAGGTTTGGTTTGCGATCCTAATGATGACGTAAGTGCTATTATATTTTTCAATATATAGATCAATGGAAGTAAAGATGCATTTTTCAATAATTTTTTTATTTATATATTTTTTGTTTATATATTTTATTGTAACCATGATACATTATTGTTTTGTGTACCTGGAAACTTCGATGCATAATTAATTCTCGTATGTTCTATATGACTTCATGTCTTTCTTTGTGTTAAGTAAGAATGCCTGTCTTTGTGTATAGTGAAAGAATAGCAATCCTTATGAACGAATCTTTGTGAAAGAATCTTTATATAAGAATCTTCGTGTAAGAATATAGAATGTGTCACTTAGGAGAAATGCTACTTGACGGGCTTGGCTTACTCGAAATAGAATGGAAATAATAGTTGCTAACGTAAGCAACCAATCAATATCGAGATACTCACATTACGTTACTTGCAGACAGAAGTTAAATTTGGTTCATTAGTTCATAGAAAATTTTGTCACTTAAATACTGCAATGTTTACTCATAAGAGACATAAACAATGTTTTAAATTGTTTAGATGATTTGTATAATTAATTTGATTTATGTAATGCTTGGTAAAAGAACAAAATCTACTGGAGGTAGTTTTAAAATAAATTATGGCATAATGACTAAAACTGTACACATGTATGTCTTAGGTTAAAGTCCTGTAAGTTCAGTTGGGAGAGCTGCATATATCTTATCAGTAGTAATGAGTTTTAGTATGTTATAAATACTATCTATTTAGTATATTATAAATACTATATATTTAGTATATTATAAATACTATAGTATGTTATAATACTATATTATATTTTTAGCATGTTATAAATAAGGACATAAACTTTATTACTAATTCTTCTTTGATATTTTATTTAAGCACTAATTGGGGTTATCTTTTTTTAAACAGATTTTATACTTCAGGTAACTTAAAATGCTCAGCAGGTTTGTTGGAAATCTAGCAATAAAATCCAGAATTTAACTCCTGATTCCCCTAGTGACACTGATAGTGAAATTGAGGATTTGCCATCTAATTATGTTGTAAATAATCAGCTAAGTGTTATATTTGAAGGTGAAGTATGTAATATAGAAGTACAGAGTAACATTTTCTATGCACAAACACTACCGAAAGTAAAATATTACAAAAGAAAGAAAGGTAGGGGAAATAGTAGATAAACCAAAAAATGCTAAAGCAGCAGAAAACCAGTAAATTTACCCAGTAAAAAGAGTTGAACAAAATAAGGGTTAAGAATACAAAGCTAGATAAGTAGCACAAGGTTTTAAGCAACAAAATGGTATAGAGTTTTCTGATGTATTTTCACTGGTAAGGAATTTTACTGTTTTAGATAATTGCTTATTATGTCTCAATTCTCGATATGCTCTAATTACCAACATTGGACTGTAGTTGTAGGTGCAATGAATTATGTAACAAACACTAAGGAAAATAAACTTTACTTATCAAATCTTAATTCTTCGTCTTTGATAGCTTAATCAGATTCCAATTGAGGTTGTCATTAATTAAACAGATTTTCCATACCAGGTTATTTAAAATGTTTAGCAAGTTTGTCGGAAATATAGCAGGATTTAGTTGAAAATGTAGCAAACCAAAATGAATTGCATTAAATAGCATAGGATACCAGTTTTCCTCTAGATGTAACACAAATGTGGGTTAGTTCCTCCAAGATGGCCAATTTCTCTCAATACCTGATCCAGGAGTTCCTTTGTCTTCTGGATTAAGTTCAAAATTAAAGGCTACGGATTGAACATTAGCAGTCGTAAACCCTAAATTGGGTTCACTGTTCAACGGCGGTTATAAAATAAAAAAAATATGAAATAACCAATCTGCTGTTTTAATTTATATTATTATGTTAGTTCATGCATAATTAGAATCTTTTTCAGAAAAACTTCGCATAATACATTTTAAATAATGTCTAGGATTTAAGGATCTTATAAAACATGTTATTTATATTAATTGAATGAAGCAAAATACAAAAAAAGTCTTAACATTTCTGCTTGAAGAACTTTTTGCTGACTAATAAAAAAAATGTTTTGATTTCACTTGAAAATCCCATTACTTTTTGAGATGCAAAAGTTACAAAGTCAGTATTAAAATAATTTCTTTTTGAAGAACTAAATGAATGCTGGTATTATATTTGTTTCTAAATAGTACTATTTTTTCATGTTTCAGGGTCGTGGAACTTGTAGAAAACCAGAGATGAAGTAACATCTGTCTCAGTGAATTTTAAAAAAAGAGCTCTACAGCACTTCACAAAAGACATCTTAAAAAAAGAAAAATAAATCGAGAATCTAATTTTTTATAGCAAGTTAAGCACCGAAATCTTTCTGTATTACTCTGAAACAAACTGAAGTTGCAAACATTTCGAGCTTCCGAAGATTTATAAGCATTGATTTTATCTAAATCATACAACATAATTTATAAAATATAAAGGCTCAAAATAATTATTATTTTGTCGTTAACTATTATTAAGCAGAGTAATTTTAATGGATTCATTTAAAATCAAATTTTTTCTACAAGCATATTTGTATTTTGTATTGCATTTCAGCAAGTAAATTTCTCTTAAATATTGCATTGAATTTGTTTCTGAATGTACAGAAATAATGTATAGCTTATATAACTATATATGAAGTTGTTTAGTTGCTTTACTTGAAATAGATCTTTACAATTAGTAAATAAAGAAGATGGTCGTTTATAAGGAATTATTTATATGACTTATAATTTTTACGGATTTTCAGTTGATGTATAAAGAGATTAGTAAAAAATATATTAAAAAAATGTTTTTTTTAATAACTGACATGGTGGTGAGTAACTATATCTATTATTTTATATCCATCATTGTCCATTATTTTTTCTTTTCAAATGAGTAGTAAAGTAACAGTAGTTTATTTTCGTCAACCTAGAGTTATTGACGTCTATATGAAAAACATCCGTATAGGGCTGATCCGTCGCCGACCGGACTCAGTAGGAGTCAGGGAACTGGACTTGCATCGGGTCATCTTTCTCGATGTTGTCTGTCTTTACTGTGGAAGCAAGATTGACCCCCTTAATATGGGCGCTCCTAAAAGAGTGGACAATATCTGCAATACGTGATAAACAAAATATTTTACACAGGTGGGTATAGAAAAAAAAGAATGATTCGAAGACATACCATTTAAATTTTCCTGGATAATCATTTCCTTTCTGTGGCCATATTTCAAATTACATAGCATACTTTGCTTCTCAAATGCGAATTTTTTAAAAATGATTCTAAGTAATAAGTGTGTGAATAATAAATGTAATTAGTTTCCTTTGAGAGAAAAGAGGCTAAGTATTGAGTAAAGTTTATTTTGCAAATAAAAAGTCCTAAATGGTAATAATAAAATTAACAAGATCCCCCCCCCCAAATTTTTTTTTTTTAAATTGCATATAAACCTGATGAGTGGGAAAAATTATTAAAGTCCTTTATGGAATTAGGCTATGGAGAAGGGTTTGAAGTTCGGATCCCTTAATGTTAATTTTAGTTTTTGTGTTTCTCTATAACTTGAAATATTTTTAAGCAAATTAGAAAATTTTTACACCAAATTATCAAATTCATTTATCCAAAGATAAAAATAATAAATAAATATTGCAAAAAATATTAAAAAAAATTATTTTTGATTATTTTATTTAATAATAGTCAAAAAATGGGAATTATAAGGTATAAAAATTCTTAAATTATTTTAAAGAATGTAAATTTAGATGGAAAATCTCAAAATTTGAACGAAATCGGTTAAATAGTTCCTGAGAAGTCAAAATTTAAAAGTATGACTTTCTTACACTTATTTTTTTCGTCTGCACTTTGAGGTCAGCCTCTTAAATCCTTACGATTAAGTTCTTGAAAGTGAAGATCTGATCATTAGATCAAAAGTTATTTTGGGTAGCCCGTTTATTTTTTTTTTGCGTTGTTCATTATCTAATTTTGAAAGCTTTCTCATTGCAACGGAATGGGTTAAAAGAATTTTATTTTTCAAAACAAATCTCGAAAAGGCTTCTTTCATTTACTTAATATTTTCCTAAATGTTTTTTATTAAAACAATCAATCTCAGCAAGTGAGTATGTTATTTTATTTATTTATTTTTACGTTTTTTATGTATAAAAGTGAGGAATCAGCAAATGAGATGCATTTCCTGAAAAAGTTTTTATCTGATAGCAACCTATATATCTAACACAGCTTCAAAAAAAGTTTTTTCTTTTATATGTTTGCCGTGCTTGTTTCTGTAGTAACGGCCATTTCATTTATCAAATATTAATGTCTAGATTACACAGCATTTATTGTTCTCATACAGATGAGTTAGTATTACCACAGCTGGCGCTTTTAGTATCACTTTTAGCGCTAACATAAAAGAGCTAACATTTATTTAAGAATGGTCGAAAAAATTTTGACTCGTAAGGTGTACAATTTTTTGTATCATTTTAAGGAATGTAATTTAACATGGCAAAATTACATACTTTAAAATGATGCAAAAATTGTATAACTTACAATTCAAAATTTTTCGACTATTCTGAAATAAAATAAGAAAAAATAATAAATATTGACTAAAAGATATTTTTTGCATTCACTTATCTTTGGATAAACGAATTTTAAACTGAGTGAAAAAATGTCCTAATTCGCTTAACTAATTCTCGAGACATCATCCGATCATTAGATCAAAACCAAAAAACTCACTTTTTCTGGGGAAGTATGCTTTTGTTTTTATCAAATTTTAATTTATCTCTTCCAAAATTCGGTGGGGGATACAAATTTTTGAAAATTTTGCCTTCATATTTTAACCCTTATAACCGATCAAAAAATTTCTACTCTAAGGTTATTTAAATGTGTCACGCTTCTCGTCATGCTTAGTTAAACGACAACAATTCTTTCACAAGAAGTTGCAAGCCCACGGCCCATGGATAAAAATGTAATTCCATGGAGAATTTAAACGAATTAATTAATTTTTATTAATTACTTTGCTAATGATAAAAAATGAATTGCATGGGTTTATATTTTTGATCCTCAAATTACAAAGTGAAATTGATGTCTGGAAAATATGGTCCGAATAGTTTAAGCAGGAAAACAGTCCGATTCTTAGACTTAATTAACTATATTGCATATTTCGCTTTAAGTCAAAAGATTGTTAAGCGAATTGAAATATTTTTGTTCATAATTATGAAAAATTGCGCAAAAATTATAAATATTTAATAAAACTATTTTTCGAGTTGAATTATCTTTGAATAAATGAATTTTATCACTCTATGAAACATTTTTCAAATCGTTAAAAAAGCTCTCGTGATGCGACGAAATAGGCTAAAAATAAAATTAACATTAGGGTATCCTAACGTTCACCTGAATAAACTATTGTGACCATATTTTTCACATACCAAATATTTTGAAGATTTAGAATCCGAATTCCAAAATTCGAAATTGTCCAACGAGGATTTAGAATCAGAATTTGTTGTTTGGATCAACCTTCATTGCCCTATAAATGTTAATCATTACGATTAAATTTACTCTAACCATTTTCTCATCAAATTTAATCAGGGTGATTTAATAAATGCGTGCAAATTCCTTTTTTTCGTGTTCTTACTTCCATATAATTACTAGTTATTTGGATTAAAAAATGAAATTCATTTTTGACCGTTACCTAACTGCAGCTGAAACAAAAAGTTTAATAAAATCATTTACCGGCCAAGGTCTTTAGAGATCTTAGGAAAACTTCATGACTTTTAGCTTTTTATCTGAATGCATAATCTTAACTATATATTCACTTTATTTGCGTATTATTCTTGGCGTTACTAAAAGATTACGAAAATTTCAATGAAGGAATACAAGACGATATGTAAAAAGGTCATATTTATTATTACATTTCAACGGAGGCACATAGAAGGGAAACAATTGCAGAATATGTATAACGTACCATTACAGACGTCTAACTCATTATTAAAGGTTACCATAAAAATGAATTTCTTGGGCATAATTCTCATATCGTGGTTGGCATTCTTTCGGGTAAGTACTATGTTGAATGTACCTTTCCTCACGTGAAAATTATGATAGAAAGAATAAATAATTGAAAATATCTATCTGAAATATCCGTTTAGGGCATTTAATCAAAACATGCCTTTTAGTTCATAAACTATCTGCACTTATACAGGGTGGTCCCGAATTCATGGTACAAACTTTAATGGTAGGTACAGGACATTGTAACAATGATTTATTGTATAGGAATGTATAGTCGCAAGTGACGTGGTGAGGCGTAAACTGGAGAAATAACGGCCGAAAGGAAAAACAAAGATTTTATTGAAAGCGTTGTTGACAAGTGTCATGTTTACAGTAAGTGTTCAAAATTGCGTCCACCAGAAGCGATACATGCTTGACAGCGTCGGTGGAGCGATTGGCGTACACGTTCAAAGATGCCTGGTATTTCACGCACACCTGCAGCAGCTACAGATATGCGAGCGACGAGATCCTCATCTGAGTCAACTGGAGTCTCATAAACAAGATGCTTTAGATGTCCCCATAAAAAGTAATCGAGGCTCGATAAATCGGGAGATCGGGGTGGCCAAGGGATTGGTCCACCACGCCCAATCCATCGAGCACCAAACGTGGCATTCAGGTAATTCCGTACATCAATGCTGAAGTGTGCTGGCGCCCCATCGTGCTGAAACCACATGCGGTTACGAATGGCGATCGGAACATCATGCAGCAGTTGTGGTAACACTTCTTTCAGAAAAATAAGATAGCTTCCGCCACTGAGTCGCGTGGGTAGTAAGTATGGGCCAATCAAAAAGTCGTTCACAATACCAGCCCACACATTAATACAGAAACGTTGTTGAAACGCATGTGGACGCGTTGCATGTGGATTATCGGTTGCCCACACATGGGAATTGTGCGCATTAAAGACACCCTCGCGTGAAAATGTCGCTTCATCTGTAAATAGCACATCACCTACGAAATCCGGCTGCAACGCACATTNTGTACGGAATTACCTGAATGCCACGTTTGGTGCTCGATGGATTGGGCGTGGTGGACCAATCCCTTGGCCACCCCGATCTCCCGATTTATCGAGCCTCGATTACTTTTTATGGGGACATCTAAAGCATCTTGTTTATGAGACTCCAGTTGACTCAGATGAGGATCTCGTCGCTCGCATATCTGTAGCTGCTGCAGGTGTGCGTGAAATACCAGGCATCTTTGAACGTGTACGCCAATCGCTCCACCGACGCTGTCAAGCATGTATCGCTTCTGGTGGACGCAATTTTGAACACTTACTGTAAACATGACACTTGTCAACAACGCTTTCAATAAAATCTTTGTTTTTCCTTTCGGCCGTTATTTCTCCGGTTTACGCCTCACCGCGTCACTTGCGACTATACATTCCTATACAGTGAATCATTGTTACAATGTCCTGTACCTACCATTAAAGTTTGTACCTTGAATTCGGGACCTTTGGCAATATTGATACAATATTAGAAAGCACTCTTTTTTGTGGATATAATTGTGTGAGCTGATGAAAAGATTATGTCTTTCATTTTTGGGATTTTTTAAAAACTTTTTGTAATTTTTTTCCAAATTTTTTTTTTCGGTTTCTTGTTATTTTAATTATTATTTTTCTTCTCCCCCCCTTTTTTCATTGTTCTGTAATTTTTCCCTTGCTTTCTCTATATTTTGAATTGATATATTTGATATACATATATACATATTTGA